ATCAAGATTCATTTTCAATTCTCTTTATATACAGAAGATGAGTTTAGCATATATTAAGTAAAGATTTCAACAGTTTGCACCCACATAGAAACACAAAGTGAAAAATACTGTTTGAATACTAGTTATAGCATTAAATCACAATGTACAGCACATTAAGGACTGAGATCCTACATGAGGAGTAAATGCACAGTGACTCCTGTTGTTGACTTAACAAATTGACACTCTTGTTTATGGCATCAGTAATCACCCTAGGCTCTTGTCATGAGTTGCCAAGGCTATGAAAGCCATTTGAGTTCAACAACTCTGATCATATTTAGACAAGGTTGTAGTCAAAGTGGAAGTTCTCTCCCTCCCTTCAGAGAAAGGTACCTCCTTCTTTGATGACCTGTTCTTTTCACTGGGATCTCACTCCCGGAGATCTTTCATTTAGGTGGTTTTTTTGTTTTGGTTTGTTTTGGTTTTTTGCCATAGTGTTTTGGCTTTCCATGCCTGTAATACTCTCATGGGCTTTTCAGCCAGATCCGCGTGCCTTAAGGGCTGATTCTGAGGCCAGAGTGCTGTTTAGGACATCTGCCATTCTATGGGTCTGCTGTGTATCTCGCTTCCTATGTTGGATCGTTCTCTCCCTTTTTTATTCTATCAGCTAGTATTTGCAGACACCAGTCTTGTTTATGTGCTCCCTTTGGCTCTTAGTTCTATCATTATGATCAATTGTGAACAGAAATTGATCACCGGGACTAGTGAGATGGCATTGGTACATGCCACCTTGATGGGATTGAATTGGAATCCCCTGGTATGTTTCTAACTCTACCGTTTGAGGTAAGTCAGCTTGAGCATGTCCCGAATTGCACATCTCTTCCCTCTCTTATTCCCACTCTTATATTTAACAGCGATCACTATTCAGTTAAGTTTCAACACTTGAGAATAACTGTGTATTGATTACAGTATTCAACCAAAAGTATTAAGTAGAACCAACAACAACAACAAAAAAAACTAAGAGGGATAACATATTAAGTTGTTCATCAACAGTCAGGGCAAGGGCTGATCAAGTCACCATTTCTCATAATGTTCATTTCACTTTAAGAGGTTTCCTTTTTGGTGCTCAGTTAGTTGTCACCAATCAGGGAGAACATATGGTATTTGTCCCTTTGGGACTGGCTTATTTCACTCAGCATAATGCTTTCCCTGTTAGGAATTTGGAAAGAATAGGTAGCATTTTGAAAACAGGCACTGAGGCCGGCGCCGCGGCTCACTAGGCTAATCCTCCACCTTGTGGCGCCAGCACACCGGGTTCTAGTCCCAGTCGGGGCACCGGATTCTGTCCCGGTTGCCCCTCTTCCAGGCTAGCTCTCTGCTGTGGCCCGGGAGTGCAGTGGAGGATGGCCCAAGTGCTTGGGCCCTGCATCCCATGGGAGACCAGGAGAAGTACCTGGCTCCTGCCATCGGATCAGCGCGGTGTGCCGGCCGCAGAGCACCAGCCGCAGTGTCCATTGGAGGGTGAATCAATGGCAAAAGGAAGACCATTCTCTCTCTCTCTCTCTCTCTCTCTCTCTCTCTCTCTCTTACTGTCCACTCTGCCAGTCCAAAAAAAAAAAAAGAAAAGAAACAGGCACTGATGGTATCAGTTAATTGGAAGAAAATATGAAAAAGTGTACAGAATGTCATATGGGTACTGAAAGACATGTGGAGGGGCTTTGATTGAATAGCATCACTTGTTCTCTCAGCAGTTCTAGTGGGAGACCCAGAAGAAGCTCCTGGCTCCTGGCTTTGGACTGCTGGAGCCCTAGCTGTTGTGGCCATTTGGGGAGTGAACCAGCAGATGGAAGACCTCTCTCTCTCTCCCTTTCTCACTCTCTCTCTCTCTTTGACTCTGCCTCTCTGTAACTCTGCCTTTCAAATATATAATTAAATTTTAAAAAGACTGTCATTTCCTCAATGAGAGCCTTAGCACTTGCTGACTATCGTGAGCTCACGGAGGAAGGCTTTGTTTCTGGGGATTCAATTCATTTCCATGGGTCTATATGTCTGTCTCCATTCTCACACTGTTTTGATTATTTTGGGTTTGTAATAATTGTTTTAGATTTATTTATTTGAAAGGCAGAGTTATTGGGGGTGGGGCGGGGAACAGATCTTCCATCTCTCGGTTTACTCACCAAAAGGCTGCAAAGCCAGGGCTGGGCCAGGCTGAAACTAGGAGCCTGGAGCTCCATCCAGGCCTCCTACATAGGTGCAGGGGCCCAACCCCTGGGCCATCCTCTGCTGTCTTTTCCGGGAGTTGATGCAAAAATAGACTGGAACTGGCACTGCAGGCAGCAGCTTCAGCTACTGTGCCACAGCACTGAACTCCTATAATAAGTTTTGAAAGTAGGATGTCTGTGAGTTTTAACTTTGTTATTTTTCAAGAGAGTTTGTTCACTTGGCGTTCCTTGAAATTCCACATGAATCTTAAGATGGATTTCTCTGCTTCTACTAAAAAAATTGCTGGAATTGTGATAAGGACTGTGCTGAATTGTAAATGATTTTGGGTGGTACTGACATCTTAACAACGTTAAGTCTTTCATTCCGTGAACACAGAGTATCTTTCCATTTATCTGTGCCTTCTTTAATTTGTTTCAGCAATGTTTTGTACTTTTCAGTGTTAAAGTGTTTTGCCTTGGTTAAATTTATTCCCAGTTATTTAATTATTTCTGATACTGTTGTTGTAATTAATCATCTTTTTAAAGGCATCCACATCAATGTTGAGTGAAGAAAGTAAACAATTTGTCTATATTGTGATGAGTAGTTTCTTGAAAAACTTTCATTGATGTATTTGATATCATCTGGTGCAGCAATAGGCTGCCTTGTGAGTGCTGAAGATCATTGGAGTGAAAGGTAGAGCCAGATTTATATTTGTTGATTGATTGATTGATTGATTTCATTTCCCAAATCAGGGGCTAATCACTGATTTAACAGAATGACCTTTGTGATTGACTCCAGATTCACTCTTTAAGATGTATTTATTTAGTGAACACAGAGTGTAAGATTTTATTGTCAGGCTTGCCATTGTGGCACAGAGGGTTACACCACTGCCTGAGAAACCTGCATCTCATATGAGTGCAGGTTCAAGTCCCAGCTGCTCCACTTCCAATCCAGTGCCCTGCTAAAGCATCTGGGAATGCAACAGAAGATGGCTCAAGTGCTTGGGCCCCTGCACCTATGTGGGAGACCTGCATGGAGTTCCAGGATCCTGGGTTCAATCTGGCCTAGCCTTGGCAGCTGTGGCCATTTGGGTGAGGGAATCTCTCTCTGTGTTTCTCTCTCTTTCTGCCTCTCTGCCTCTCTGTTCTCTTCCTCTCTGTAACTCTTTCAAATAAACAGATAAACCAGTCTTTAAAAAAAGAGATGTAACTACCTTCATGATACAGCAGAAGGTGAAGCACAGAGCGGGATATCTCAGCCCTTTCTCTCATTATCACCTCCAGTTCAAACTGGCTACACCTCTCTCTCTCTCTCTCTCTCTCTCTCTCTCTCTCTTTAAAATAATTTATTTGAAAGGCTGAGAGAGAGAGAGAGAGTTCTTCCATCTGTTGGTTCACTCCTCAAATGGCCCAATGGCCAGAGCTTTGCCAATCTAAAGCCATGTGCTTCTTCCAGGTCTACCTTGTGGGTGTAGGGGCACAAGGACTTGGGCCATTCTCTATTGTTTTCCCAGGCCATAGCAGAGAGCAGGATTGGAAGAGGAGCAGCCGAGACTCCAACTGGCACCCCATGGGTGTGGCACTTCAGGTTGTGGCTTTAACCAGCTATAGCACAGAGCCAGCCCCCTGTTTGGGTCTCTTGAGATGCCAACATTCTTAAATCTACAGCTGGACCCACCACATTCGAACCTCAGCATGATCTCTGTGATCTTAACCTTTTACCCAGAAAATCAGCGTGAATACACCCAGCACAACTACTCTGTTTCCTGTCACAACAGCGCTTTCCCTGGGCACACAGAATCCTCATCCTTCTTGTGGGGCTGGCACATGCCACACTTCCTACAGAAGGCACGGTGGGTTGTAGGCATGTCCGCCGTGTTTGTTGGAGCACTGTCACTGTGGAAAGCCCTTTGAGGATTTAGATGAGATCCTAACATTGCTTAAGGCTACTCGTTTGCCATAACAAGCTGCATTACCTTACATATAATATCCTCCTGTATGGGCTCCAACCATTAGAGGAGCAGCCTTGCCATGAAGTGGGAGTGCCTCTTACAGTTCCTTTTTTATAGATTTATTTATTTACTTGAATGGCAGAGCTACACAGAGGCAGAGATGCCCACGCAAACACACACACAAAGAAACACACACACATACAAACAGAGAGAGAGAGAGGTCTTTCATCCAATGGTTCAGGCCCCACATGGCCACAATGGCTGGAGCCATGCCGCGGTGAAGCTAGGAGACAGGTGCCTCCTCCTGGCCTCATACGTGGGTGCAGGGGCCTAAGGACTTGGGCCAACTTCTGCTGTTTCCCAGGCCATAGTAGAGAGCTGGATCTGAAGTGGAGTAGCTGCGACTAGAACTGGCACCCATATGGGATGCAGGCACTGCAGGTGGTGGCTTTACCCACTATACCACAGGGCCATCCCCCCTTTTGTTTTGAGATTTATTTATTTATTTGAAAGGCAGAGTTACAGAGAGAGAAAGGGAGAGGGAGAATCAGAGCAAGATCTTCCATCTGCTGGTTCACTTTCCAAATGGCTGGAATAGCCAGAGCTGGACCAGGAGCCAGGAGCTTCTTCTGGGTCTTCCAGAAAATTGCATCCAGGGGCCCAAGCAGTTCAGCCATCTTCTTTTGCTTTCCCAGGTGTATTAGCAGGGAGCTAGATGTGAAGAGGACCAGCAGGGACTTATACCAGCACACAAATGGGATGCAGGCATTGCAGGTGGTGGCTTTACCCAATTTGTCACAGTACCATCCCCCCTTTTGTATAAGATTGATTGATTTATTTGAAAGGCAAAGATACAGAGAGAGAAAGGGAGTGGGAGAGTCAGAGAGAGAGCTTCTATCTTCTTGTTCACTTTCCAAATGGCTGGAATAGCCAGAGCTGGACCAGAACAAGCCAGGTGCCAGGAGCTTCTTCAGGTTCTCCCCTGCAGGTGCAGGGGCCCAAGCACTTTGGCCATCTTCTGCTTTCCCAGGTGCATTAGCAGCTGCTAGATGTGAAGTGGAACAGCTGGGACTTGAACTGGCACATATATGGAATGCAGGCACTACAGGTGGTGTGTTATCCTCCTATGCCTCACTGCTAGCACCTAAAGTTCCATCGTGGTCTGTTTTTGATAGGATTCCAGCAGACACAGGAAGTCTCTCAAAGTATCCTTAAGTCATGCGCTGCTCCACAAGGAGACCCTCTGTATGTGTACTCTCTGATCTTGAGCGAGTTAACCAGCTGTAGCAGGTGCACTGAGTTCTACCATCTGGGTTGATTTCACCCCTGCGAGGATTCTCCATTCTAAAAGAGAACTTAGATCAGTAGGTGCCTATCCTGTGTAATAATCTCCAGTTTCATTTTTGAGTCAACAGGTATATGAGGTCTGGTTCTCAGCAGGAGTTTCTGGTGTGTCTGAGTGAGGAACAGAAATTTCCCTGGTGGAGATGAGATGATGCTGAGGTTCCCTTTCTTTTGGGAGAGGTGACAGAGTGGCAGAACTAAGGGGAGCTGCCATGGTGAATGAGAGCGTGAAAGTGACAGTCAGAGGAGGGGACCCCAAGAGTTCCATGGCAAACCAGAATTAAATGGTTATATTTGTGCAAAAGAATTTGAAATGCATGCACAGTTTTGTCCCAGTAAACAAGCCCTCTCTTAGAATTTCATAGAACACGAATCTCCTATTGCGTGTTCAGTTGGTAGTGACGAGTACATTGCAAGAAGAGCCACAGCATTGAGCTGGACTAGGAGCAACCGGGACAGAATCCGGTGCCCCAACAGTGACTAGAACACGGAGTGCCGGCACCTGAGGTGGAGCATTAGCCTTGTGAGCTGCAGTTCCAGCCATGTAACTCTTTCAAATAAACAAAATAAATCTTTTTAAAAAAGAATATAGATAGTAAACAGGATAAGTGAACTGACAACATGTTTAATACCAGATGCTCCTTGATGTACAACAGGTTTATATTCTGATAAGCCCATTGTGAGTTGAAATATCAACTTATGTTTTTAAAAATTACCAAAAATCAAAATTCATGTAATCCACCTAACCTACCAAACATTGTAGCGTGCCATAAATATGCACATTGTATTTACGTTAGCCTAAACTTTGGCAAACTCATCCAACACTAATTTTTTTGAAACTAAAACATTGAATATCTGATGTACATACACAGAAGGGAGCCTTACAGACATGATGAGAGCAAATACGTAAGACAATATCCACAAACCGTTGGCAACAGAGCACCCCGTGGAGTGCAAGTTCTTTATCACCCCAGTGCCGTGACGGACTGGGAGCTGCACTTGCTGCCACTATGCAGCACCCCAGGAGAAGATCAAAATTCAGAGTCCCAGTACCACTTCCACCAAATGTGTATTGCTTTTCCACCAGCATAAAGTCAAACAATACTACATTGATCCATCCTATAGTGAGATCCACTGAGAAGTGTGAGATTTGGATTAAGGCAGGGAAGGGAGGGAGAAGAGTCTGGGACTGTCTGTTTAGCTGATGTGCCCAGAGGAAGCTTCGAGACACAGTGGGGAAACATACAGAAAGACCAGTGTGGAGGGTTCCCCGAAGAGAAAGGACGATTCCACAATCTATGCATAATCTTGTCACCTTTCATGAAAATCAGAGACCAGAGAGCTTTAAAGGAAGGAGTGAGGAGGACGTGATGAGAGGTTGACTATGACAGATAATGTGGGTGGAAGGTGCATACAGAACCCTGCAGGCCCATATAAAACATTGGCTTTAGTCCTGAGTGAACTGAGCAGACTGCAATGTTCTACTTCTGTTTTGTGTATGTTTCTGTTTTCCTAGCATCCAGGGGGTGGTTGAAGATCTACTTCCGGTTTACAAGGACCCCTGCAGTTGTGTGTAGACTAAGCTGAAAACAGACCCAGGAGAGATGCAAGGAGAAGCTGAGGAAGTCTCTACAGTATCTCCCTCAGGGATGGAGCCTGGTAGCAGAAGGAGCGCCACAAAGTGGTGCAACCCGGGACATGTGGATGGAATGGCTATGGATGTGACAGAGGACACTCGAGGACAACTCTGAGGCCTGGATTCCTGCAACAGGAAGGGTGGAGTTACCAGTTATCGTCATGGGGAACACTTTGAGAAACTCAGCTTTCAGGAAACGCAAAGAGGTCAAATTTGGACCTTCTGTTTGAACTATTATTAGGTAGAAATGCAAATTGCACACGGTTCAATTGAACAGACATCCAGGAGAAAACAGTGAGCATGCACTTGGATGTCCATAGGGGAGGTACAGATGGGTGACAGCAACACACGGATGGTATTTAAAGGAAGAAAGCAAAGTTGAAAGGAGGAAAAGGACAAGAACTGTGTCCTGAAATGTTCCAGCACCAAGAACTAGCTCAGGAAATGAGAACAAACCAGAGAAAGACCAGAGAATGTGAGAACGTGGGTGCCAAGGGGAGGGTGGTGGCGTTGAAGGGAAAGACCCAGTGACTCCATCACGTGTTGCACATAACTCAACATGAGGACTGGGGGAGGGGCATTGTGGGGCAGCAGGTTCAAAGCCACCATGTGCAGCCCCAGCAGCCCAATGCACAGCACCAGTTTGAGTCCCAGCTGCCCTGCTTTGGATCCAAATCCCTGCTAACCAGTCAATGGGGTCCAGTGGTCTACAGAAACATTCATCTGTGAAAGCACAGAGGTAGAGCAGGCAGATAAAATTAGAGGCCAAGCAGGAGACAGGAAAGGAGATGAGGCTACAAATGCAGCAGCGGCTGTAAGGACAGTCCACAGAATTTCAGCTCCAGGTGTGGAAGGAGTCAGGACCTGACGCTGCTAGTTTCAGTGAATGGGTGGGATGGGATTTGTAAAAGTCACTAACTCTGCATTATAGAGGATAACAGAGGGCCCTCGCTGCACTCAAAGCCGAGAGCGTATAAGAGTCCCAGGCCCACCAGGCCTCACAGGTAGCAGGAAGGAGTCACAGCGCCCAAGTACATGAAACTCTTGAGTCCCTTTCGACAAAGTCCTCTTCACCTCACAATTCCTAAACTCCTGGGCCCAGCTTGACCCAAGTCACTTTCCCCAACCCGGCCCACATGCAGATATAAGCACTTCATACTGGTTGGTTAGGGGGTATTGATTGACGCCAGGGCAGTCCAATGAGCAGCATGCTAATTCACCGATCATCTTCAGTGCCCTCTTTTTTTTTTTAAGATTTATATTATTTGAGAGAGTTACAGAGAAAGGTAGAGACAGAGAGAGGTGTTCCATCTGCTGGTTCACTCCCCAGATGGCCGCAATGCCTGAACTGTGCTGATCTGAAGCAAGGAGCTTCTTCTGGTTCTCCCACTTGGGTGCAGGGGCCCAAGCACTTGGGCCATCCTCCACTGCCCTCCCGGGCCACAGCAGAGAGCTGGATTGGAAGAGGAGCAGCCAGGACTAGAACCGGCGCCCATGTGGGATGCCAGCACTGCAGGCCAGGGCATTAACCCGCTGCGCCTCAGCGCCAGCCTCTTGGTGGTCTTAAGAAGAATCAGGTCGGGGCAGAGCACCTGATCGGGTGCCCAGCCTGGCCGTGTCTGAAAACACCTGAGAGTGTTTCTTAACAGGTCAAACCCCTTTTTGGGATAATGATGATGCTGTTGTATGCAACACGCCACTGGGGAACAGGGCTGGCACTGCCCAGTGGGAGACAGCAATGATAAAACACGGGACCAACAGCTACTCTTTACTGAGCACTTCCTAGGTCCCAGGAACACTGTACATCCGCAACCGCTCAGCACAGCAGATGGCATTCTCCGCGTCTGAGGCTGGGGCCAGCTGAGGTGACTTGCCCACAGTCACCGTCAGCACGGAGCCTAGGAGAGGCGACCAGGGGCGCCTCCTCCAGGAGCCCTGCTAAGGGCTTCCCACCCAAAGTGGGGCCACCTTTCCTCGGAGGGGAGTTCGCGGTGAGGATTCTGAGCCCACAGAGTTGGGGTCAAGCCCAGGGCCCAGGACGCGGTGTGGTAAGCCCACTGAGGCCAGGCAAGCTCGGGCACCACGTAGCTCGGGCACCACCCGGCCCAGCATGTGAGGTCCAACCTGGAGCACACATTCATCGCCCCTCTCCTCCTTACTTCTCCGCCTTCTCTCCTGCTTGGTGTTCCCCATTCTTCCATGCATGGAACGCTCTTTGGACCAAGACTGAACCCCCAGTCCCCAAGCACGTCTTTCCAGCCACCTCCATGCCCAACCCGCCCTTGGCCGGCTGGACACCACACCTGGAGGTGGGAGACGCCCGAGGAGCCCAAGAGGCCCTCAGGCTCCCAGCCCGGTCTTTCCTAACGCCATCCAGCAACCTTCCCATGGGGGCCTGCGGAATTCCGGCGAGGAGTCTGGGAACACCGGACACCCAGGCCAAAAGCCAATCTGCAGGCCACTGTCCTGGCGGACTGAAAAGGCAGCAAGCGTGGCCGGGAAGCAGGGCCCTGTGGCAAGCATGCAGCTCCCGCTCCCCGCATGAGCCCCTCAACTGCTACATGAGACAGGTTCACCGGTCTGCAACTTCAGCTTAAAAGAATTCTTTGAAGGTGATTGCAGACAATTCCCAAGACCCTTGTCCCAAGACTCCTACTCAGTGGCTCTGAGGCGGGGCAAGGAATCCGTATATCCAGGGCTGTTGGCGCCAAGCCTCAGGCTTCTGCTTGCGATACCTGCACCCCCTCTCCCAATGTGCCGGGTTGTCGCCCCCCAACCCCCGGTACACTGCCTCAGACCCAGCTTCCTGCTACTGGACCCGGGAGAGCAGCAGGTGAGGGCCTCTGACGCCCACTGGAGGACCAAGATGGAGTTCTGCGTTCCCGCCTTCTCCCTGCCCAGGCCTGGCTGTTGCAGCCATTTAGGAAATTAAGCAGCAGCTGGAAATTTCTCTGTCGCTCAGCGTTTCAAATAAATCTCTTGTTAAGTTAATGGACGGGGAATACAGTTTGTTTTATTAAATGTGCATATCCCAGAAACCTGCAAAAGGATGCCAATGCCACCAAGTGCCAGATCACAAACTTAAACGTCCACCCGGAGAGGTTTGATTGATGCAAAGGAATACTAGGTGGCCCTTAAAAATAAATGTTATAAAAAGAAAAGGGAGATGAGTAACATGCATGTGATTTGGTTTTAAGTGCACAAAATATTTTGAATGGTAAGCAGTCACAATGTGACGTCTCCAAGGTGACGATTTAATAAAATCAGAGACGAGAAGAAAGATTTTGTAGTCCTCAGGAACCATTTGTAAACATGACCTATCCTGGAAGCCGTGTGGGGGTTCTTCCCCTTCTAGCACTGAAGGCGGTTTGAGCCGCACCTTCCCTTAAGCAAGCTCCATGCAGGCTGCCTGCCAACTCACTCGGAGCGCTGACGCTAAAATGTTGCGGCTTCCGGGCGCTGGCAACGCCACCCCTGCAACCAGTCCCCTGCTCCCAGCAAGCTCCTTAATAACTTAAACATGCTCATCACCTGGAACTTGGGCTAAGGGCTCATATACCTAAGAGTTACCACTTAGGTCAAAGGACACAGAAATCGCCACGCAGGGTGAGCACGTTCCATCCCCTACCTTTCCAACACCCTGAGGGGCCACACCAGCCATTGACAACTTAGGCGAAACACAGGCCTATGAATCTCACCTAAAATCAAAAAAAACCTCCAGGAATAAAAATGGCGCCAAGGGTACTTCCGGGTCAGGGTTGTCACCTGGGAATCCTGATGTGGTAATCCACTCCCGCGACCTAAACATTACACAGTTCTCAACGTGAGAGAGCCCGAGAACTTGACAAGCCCAGGAGTCGCACAGTGGCCCGCCCCCTAAGGTTCCCGCACACTGACCAACCAACCACAGCCCTGGATGGTCGTCAACTGCCCCGCCTCAGGGCGGAGCCTCCAGGAGCAGGGCTTAGTGGGATGTACAGGCACTTCGGTTCCCAGAGCCACGCTCGCAACGTGATTGGTCGTCCATTCTGCATCCGGGTCTGTACATGGAAGGCTGAAGATTTCAAGACTCCAGGCCCAGCCCCGAAGCTGGACCGCAGACCACCAGACAGCCTCACGCCTCCTCACCCGTCTGCCTCAGGGAACCTCACCCGTACATCCCACGCCACCTCACCTATCCGCCGCAGACCGCCTCACCCGTCCGTCCGCCGCAGGCCGCTACTCCTGACCCCGGACCTGACAGCGCCCGCAGGCCCGCGAAGCCCGCGAAGCCCGCGAAGCCCGCGCCCGTCGCCCCTCGCGCCCTCTGCCAGGCCCCCGGAGCGCAGCCCGCAGCGCCGTCGACATGAGGGGCGTCCGGCCCCGCAGCCCCAGCGCCTGCCCTGAGCCCGCGGGGCCCCCGCAGCCCGGAGCAGCCGGCCCTGCCAAGCGCCGCCGAGTGCAGGAGCCCGCGGCCGCCGAGCCCGGGCCCCAGCCCGGCCTCCCGGCCCCGCCCGCGGCCCCGCCCGCCTCGGCGCTCCCCTCCGTCGTGGTCGTGGTCCTGGCCGCCGGCTGCGCCCTGCAGCTGCCGCTGGACGACGTCGACCTGCTGCTGGAGCCCGCGCCCACGGCGGTCCTCAGCGTGTCTCTGCCCGGCCACACGCTGCTGCTGGTCCCCGAGGGCCTCCTGGAGGCCGCCGGCCAGGGCCCCTCGCCGGGCGGCCTGGCGCTGGCCGCTGTCCTGGACGCCGCGGCCGAGGCCGTCGTGGTACAGCAGCAGCAGCAGCAGCAGCAGCAGGGATTGGTGTGCTCAGCCCCCACGGAGATGGCCGGCCAGGCAGAGGCCTTTGAAGACGAAGACGACGCCGACCCCGAGCTCCTGGCGTTGCGCGTGGACCCTGCAGCCGGCTGGGCCGCGGGGCTCTGCCTGGGCGCTGCAAGGGGCTCCAGCCCCGGCTCGGCCTTCCACCTGGACTGGGAGCTGTGGCGGCCGCTCCCCGGCTCTCCGCTCCAGCCTCTCCCTGCGTCTCCCAGTCCAGGGCCCCCGGAGCCCCCGGGGCGCCCGCAGCGCCCTCCTCGGCCCGCCTGCAAGGCCCGGAGACGCCTGTTCCAGGAATGAAGGAGCTGCCTCTGCACCCCGTCGCCACGCAGCTGACGCCCAGGTGAGGGGCTTCTGAGAGCCGTTCTGGGGGCCCTGCTGGCTGTGTGTCCGCAAGGGTAGACGGCGCAGAGAGGGAGGCCCTTTGGCTGTAGACGGCCTTGCACCATTCTGCAGGGCTGTTTGTTGGCTCAGCAGGTCTGGGAGAAGGACCATCTCCTCCCACACCCGAGGACAATGCTGCCTGCAGCGCAGCCGCCCGGAGACCTCAGGTTCTGCTTGGGCCCTGCTCTGCGCACAAGGCACCCAGGCACTGTCATGGCCCTGACCTTTGCTTCGAACCTCAGCTCAGCACTTGTGGAAAACTTTGCCAGCCCGCCCCCAGCACCCTACCACTGGACCCCTCGTCTCGTCTCCCACATTGCAATGAGGACGGAATCGGTTTGCTTCAGGCCCTAGACTCTGCAAGCTCTTGGCAAACGTCTGACCGCGGACTCTTCCTGAGGCTGGCCCTAGTCCCTTTCGGGGGGTCTGGAAAACAGTTGGACGTGGACCAAACAAAGCACTGGGCACCGTGACCACGTACCCCCCATTTGGTTCATGACTTGGTTAGCAAGTAGTTAGGTTTGGGAGTTAGGGTTGTGCACCCCCTCCCCCCAAAGACCAACTCTTTCCCATTCATTGCTTCCTGTCTATTTGTAAGATAATGCCCCATGCATGTTCAAAGTTCCCAATTCTAAGTCTCTTTTGTGTTGTTCTAGGATCCCGAGTATATGTTGTACATTGTTGCTACTGTATAGAAATAATTTGTTTCTTCTATTGATCTGACATCGGGGAGAGAATTATTGGATTTCTGTAGTGTTTCATTGGTAGCTTCTTCTCTTTCTTAGTTTTTTATACTGGGTTTTCTTTGAAATCCAGGTTGAACTGTATAATTGATAGCAATATTCCTGTCTTATGCCTCATGTTAATGCTTTGGAATTTCACCATGGAGTGTGATCTTTCCTGGACGTGATTGTCAACAACCCTTGTCCTACCGAAGAAATTAGTTTATGCCCGAGCAAAAAGGTTGGTTCTGTGCTCATTTTGTTTTTCCCAGCTATGTGACTACACTGACTTGTCAGATTATTTCAAGGTTGGCATTTAATTGTGAATGTATATCAAATAGGATGTGTGGAGCCTTGGGGCCATTTCTGTGTGTGGAACCCTGGCCCAAGAGGAAACCAAACCAGTGTGGAGCTTCAGGGATTTCGAGGGAAATGAGCTTCAGGGATGACATGACTGTAGCATCACCTTCAGATTGTCACTATTAAGAAATGGTTTTCTCGTTGCACCAATGTGACTGTGGTTTGGTTTTGAATCGATTCCTGTGGCAATTTGGACTGTTTACACTTCTAGCCACTGAGTATCTTCACATTTCAGTGATTCCATTTTTTAGGAAGGATTCTACTTCTAGTCTTGATTGTTTGGGGTTTTCATGTTTGTTTGTGGGTTGGGTTAATGTTTTACACAGCATTGCTAATTTGTCATGTCCCTTCTTTGGCCAAGTTTGTATTCTATTTCATGAAAAATAAATTATTACTGGTAAGCAAGATGTTATTTTTTCTGACCATTCATTATATTAGATTTACTGACATACGTTATCAGTTTCTTTGCCCATTTTCTGTACTTGCATTTTGTGGCTTCATTTCCTCTGTATCTGTTGTCCTACCGAGGTGTGCTTTCTAAGAATCCTTTCAGCTATGGCCTGTGTGGCAAATCTTAGTTTTGTGTATCTGCACATATTTCAATGACACCTTCAAGCTAGTATGTGTTAGGTTTTAGGTGGGTTTGAAGTTCTAAAATGCTGCCTGCACTCTCTCACTCCTTTAAAGATAGTCCTGTCCTCCTTTCCCTGCCATGCTAGTAGTGCATGCTCGAAATCTGCCGCTGCTGCTGTCTTTTCCTTGTATGAGATGAGGCTGTTGGCTTTCTTGACTTTGATGTTCTACTGTTTAGTCGGATGTATTCAGTGTTAGAAAAGCTGTCTGCTGCAACCAGTGGCCTTTCATTTCTTGAGAACTAAGCCTTTCAATTTTCATTTAAAAAATGAGTCAGTTTCTACTGTTCATTTTGGCCCCGCTACAGTCTCCAGAACTGCTGAGAGAACAAATGATGCTATTTAGTCAAAGGCCACTGCATATGATATTCAGTACCCATCCGCATAATATACTGTCGCTGCCTATTTTCAAAATTCTGCTATGTTCTTTTTTTTTTTTAAGTTTGAAAGCAAGGGGCAGAGATCGTGACTCTGCAGGTCAAGTGGTCGTTGGGATACAGCATCCCATTTGATGTCACTTGGAGTCCCAGCTATGCCACTTCTTTGTAATTTTTATTTTATTTCATGTTTTTAGGCAGAGTTAGTGAGAGAGAGACAGACAGACAGAAAGGTCTTCCTTTTTCCGTTGATTCACCCCCAAAGTGGCCACTATGGCCAGCGCGCTGTGCTGATCCAAACCATGAACCAGGTGCTTCCTCCTGGTCTCACATGTGGGTGCAGGGCCCAACTGCCTGAGCCATCCTCCACTACACCCCCAGGCCACAGCAGAGAGCTGGACTGGAAGAGATGCAACCGGGACAGAATCCAGCACCCTGACCAGGAACAGAACCCGGGGCGCCGGCGGCACAGGTGGAGGATTAGCCCAGTGAGCCGCAACACCGGCCTCTGCATATGTTCTCTATAAGACAGCATTTGTGGTGCTCATGGACTTTGCCACTCAGAAATCACAGCTGTCATCCTCAAGCAATCGCCTGAGGACACCAGTTTCCAGTGTGAGTGAGGCAGTGATGCAGGGATGGACGGCCCCTCGGCCCACCCGTCAGCACTGCTGGGAGTGTCAGCTGACTCAGCTGGGTGGTTCCCCAGGAATGATCTCTGCCTCCATGGGTAGTGCACTTCAGTGACTGCTCCATTAGCAAGTAGCTCAGCCAGCCCGCATCCTTCAAGTTAAAAGGACTCTGAGCTGTGAGTTGGATGAGGCCTTTGTTACAGCAGCATCCCAGTTCATCTTCTCTGCCTGCCTGGCCATATAGTCTCCATTCTCCCAAAGTCCTGCTTGTAAATCTCCATCTTCCCAGATGGGCCAGGAGTTGACTTAGGGAAGCACTTAATAAAATGGACTTTGAATAGCTCGTGACATGCTGCAGCAATGTGGATAAGCTCTGAATCCTTGGTGAACTTACTGGGACACTGGTGGCAGGAAATACACTGACATTCGCAGTATCCTGGGCATTGGGAAAATGTGGGGCACAAAATCATTACAAGAGCTAATATGTAGAAAGAGTTTGGGGTGAAAGGGTTGTTCCAGGATAGTCAGTGCACTTATGAAACAGAGTGATTAATTGCCAATCAAACCTTAATATGAGATCTGCAGAGGCCCTTGGCTGCATACAGATAGACTTTCCTGTCCCAGGCTAATGGTGGGGTGAGTGAGGGGATACTGTGGGTCTGACCCAGGATTTATTGTAGGACAGTGGAGTACAAGAAAAGGTTAAAGTTCTCAAACACGTGTGTAATGCTGAGGTCACAGCCCTGATTGGCCCTGACACTGGAAGAAAACAACCAGGTAGATAGATTTCAGAATCTTAAATCTGCAGGTGCCTCCCAAACTCTTGGCTACAAAAGTGGCCCCCTCCTCTGTATACCTCTCTAAGATGATAGAGAATGGGCTGGCATTGTGGCACAAGGGGGTTAAGCCACTGCTTGCAACAACAACATCCCATATCAGAGCACAGTGTGAGTCCTGGCAACTCTGCTTATCATCCAGCTCTCTGCTAATGTGTCTGGGAAAACAGCAGATGATCGCCCACACATTTGGGCCCTTGCCACCCAATCAGAGAACCAGAAGAAGTTCCAGGTTATTGGCTTTGGCCTGCCCCAGCCTTGGCATGGCGGCCAGTTGGATTGAACCAGAAAATGGAAGATCTTTCTATCAGTCTCTCCCTCTCTTTCTGTTGCTCTACATTTCATATAAATAATTCAAAAATCTCTGCCTAGAAAGACAACGTACACCCACCACAAGATCTGCTCTCACAGCCTCTCTTTGCCATAATGCAAGTACCTCAAGCACAAATTGCCCAGGTAGGTACATCCTAAGGAAGGGGTCTCTACATATCCTCGAAGAGATGCACGAATCACCCAACATAAACCAGTAGAAGTCAAGTGTATAACCGAGGATGCGGGATGTCAACCTGCAGAAGGGACAGCTGGGAATTTAGAAGCATTCTCCGCAATATAGGATTTGACTGGTTTGGTTTGTACATCTCTTACATATTGCATATTTGGCTTCAAGGAGAGATTCTCTGGAGAGAGCTGCTGCTGTGCCATAGTGGGTAAAGCTGTCACCTGCGGTGCAAGCATCCCACATGGGTGCTGGTTCAATCTCGGCTGCTCCTCTTCCGATCCAGCTCTCTACTATGGCCTGGGAAAACAGTAGAAGATGGCTCAGGTGCTTGGGCCCCTGCCCCTGTGTGAGAGACCCAGAAGAAGCTCCTGGCTCCGGGCTTTGGATTGCCCCAGCCCCAGTCATTGCAGCCAATTGGGGAGTGAACCAGTGACGGGAAGCCTTTCTCTCTGTCTTTCCCTTTCTCTGTCTTTAACTCTACCTCTCAATAAATACATAAATAAATCTTTCAAATAGCACCAAAAAATAAAAAAAAAAAAACAGAAAGACTCTTTGTCAAAAGCTAACGAGCACTGGGCAAACAACAAGCTAGATTCATTTCCCCATTAAATTGTGCATCCTTGTCCTACATCCAGATCTCCTCTGCGCCTTCCCCTTCTATCCTCTCTTCCCACACCTCTGATGACTCCTTCCCCTGTTCCTCCTTACCCATACCCTCTACCCTTTCCACCAGCTCTCCCAAGAACCTAAAATGCCAGTTACCTTGAAAGGTTCATTCCCTTATGTACCAGGTATTCAGGAAATTGTTGTAGAATTTAAACCATACACTCAAGATTAATCAAGAATAGCAAGTCTTCTAAATCCAGGCAAGAACACCAAATATTAATGAAAAGATTAGAATTCCTTTGGGTAAATATGATCTAGGATTACCTGACATTTCAACTCATCCAACATATTGGACAAAATCACAGGTACTAAATCCTGGAGGGCAAAAGCTGATGGGACTTACTCAGCAAGAAACCTACAACATCTTTCTCTCCATAAAACTGGGGCTCAACAACAGTCTGAAAAGTCTCCTAAAATTCATACCAAGAACATTTTCAATAACAATGCAAATGCTACTGTTAATATATTTAATGTTGCTACCTTTGCTTGGACTCTTCCCTGGATAAACATATGACACCAATGTTATTTCCTTTTTTGAAAGATTTACTTATTTGAAAAGCAGAGTTACACAAAGAGAGATAGAAATCATCCGTCCTCTGGTTCACTCCCTAAATGGTTGCAACAGGAAAGACTGAGCCAGACCAAACCCAGGAGCCAAGAGCTTCTTCCCAGTCCCCCATGGGTGCCCGGGCCAAGGACTTGGACAATCCTCTGCTGCTTTTCCAAGCACATTAATAGGGAGCTGGTTCAGAAGTGCAACAGCCCGAACTTGAACCAGGGCCCATGTGGGAAGCTGCATCCTAGGCGTTAGCTTAATCCACAGAGCTACACCTCCATTCCCCGTGGCTGGTATGTCAAATAGCACATGTGTTCCCCTTTAGACTAGAGATTCCTCCTAGGGTTGAAATCAACCCAGATGGTAGAACTCAGTATGCCTGCTACAGCTGGTTAACTCCCCCAAGATCAGAGTATAAACATACAGAGGTTCTCCTTGTGGAGCAGTGCATGACTTCAGGATGCCTGGAGACAAAGGAGACTTCCTGCCTCTGTCAAATAGCACATGTTTTCCCCTATTGCCCAGCCTTTAACTGCAACCCATGGGTCCTTGACTAAAAATACTCCTCTCTGCTTTCTGATAACACACCCTCAAGTGAGTAGGAGACTGATCTGCACATGGAAATTTAATAGCACAAGCTCCCCAGTGGGACTATTTCATGAGTTTCAGAGGATTTTTCTACTCATCATCAAGTTGTATCTGTTCTGGACATACCCTTGCATTATCTATTGGAGCTGGTGCATATCCCAGATAAACATTTTGACACTGTAAATTACCTTCTCTGTGCTAGAAATCCCACTGACATAGAAAAAAATAGCAGGATTGGGAGCAGGGCTTATGAAAGTTTAGATAGAGTCTAACAAACTCTCACCCAAATTTCCCCCAGTATCTTTGGAAGCCAAAGGGATGAAAATTTCTCGTGCAATACAGGCGTCAATACCAACAAAACACACAACAGGTGATTCGTGTTTTATAAAATTCTAGGAGGGGGCTTGTTTTGTGAAGAAACTATGCATACATTTCAAATTATTTTGCACAAAAATAACCTTTTCATTCCGTTTTTCCACGGAACTCTTGGAGGTCCCCTCCTCTGACTGTCACTTTCACGCTCTCATTCACCACGGCAGCTCCCCTTAGTTCTGCCACTCTGTCGCCTCTCCCAAAAGAAAGGGAACCTCAGCATCATCTCATCTCCACCAGGGAAATTTCTGTTCCTCACTCAGACACACCAGAGACTCCTGCTGAGAACCAGACCTCATATACCTGTTGACTCAAAAATGAAACTGGAGGTTATTACACAGGATAGGCACCTACTGATCTAAGTTCTCCTTTGGAATAGAGATTCCTCGCAGGGGTGAAATCAACCCAGATGGTAGAACTCAGTGACCTGCTATAGCTGGTTAACTCCCCCAAGATCAGAAAGTACACATATAGAGGGTCTCCTTGTGGAG